ACCGCCACCGCCACCGCCACCATGCGGAAAGGCCATCCAAGTTTTTAAGTATCATTTTTTTTGCTGAAGGTCAAAAAAAATTCGAATCAAGCAATTTCCGGATAAAATAACTGGATAGTCGTAACATGCGACCTGTTCTCGGTTTTGGATTGCTCCGGCCATGGAAAAATTGTTCCGATCAGAAAAAAATTTTGTTGGTGAAATTAGGAACCCTCACCAGTATCATGGTGGTCTAGGTTGTGATTCTCCCAACTGTCGTTTCTTTTAGAAGCTCGGATGATCTTGGTTTTTGAGAACTATCAACAGTCACAGGGAAGGTGGGGGTGAGGGTCGCAATCCTCGTGTCTGTCGTCGCTTTTCGACACTCAGATTTTCTTGGAGCCTGCAAAGTGTTGACAGTCACACGGATCGTGGGGGTCGGGGTCACAATCCTCGTAACTGTTGCCCGCTTTTGCAGCTTCTGAACCTCCTGGATTATTAAACGTGGACAGGCACTGGCACTTTGGCGCGTGTAGAGGCTGCAGATATTGTAAATCACAGCATTGGAAGTTCATCTAGAGCTTGAAGATACTGTAAATCATCTAGAGCTTGTAGTTCAAGCTCTTCAGAGCTTGCAGATGCTGTAAATCACAGCACGCCAACTTTGAATTCTTAGTTTGCCGATGCATGCTGTAAATTACAGCGTTCGGAGCCTTGCAAAAGCGTAAACACTGAGAGATGCAGCAGTAAGGGAGATGTTCATTTCCGCAGCTGGATGGCGCAAACAAAGTGATCCGAACAGCCTTCCCCTACTGCAAACATGGTGATGACACGATACGTGTCACTTCTTGCAAGCATGGATGGCCTCAAAAAACAGGGGGGTTGGGGTGGCGCAGCCCCCCCCCATTCGCAAAAAAATGATCCGCACAGCCGTCCCCTGGTGCAAACATGGAGACGACAGGATGCTTTTATTCCAAGTATGGATGGCCTCCAAAACAGGGGGGGGTTGGGGGGGCAGCATGGCGATGACTTTGTTTTTACAGTCAGCATGGCTGGCCTCAAAAAAGCGGGAGGTTGGGGGGGCGCAAGCCCCGTGCATTTGAAAACAAGATAATCTGCATGCGACGAGCTGATGCTTGTTTTGAGTACAAGCATGGATGGCCTTAAAAAAGCAGGGGAGGTTGGGGGGCCGCACCCCCTCCATTTGCAAACAAAATGATCCGCACGGCCTCCCCTTAGTGCAAACATGATGATGACATGTTGTTTCACCCTAGGCATGAAGAAATTACTAATCAGTCCTGCCTTCCTTCCTTCCTTGCTTCGTTCCTTCCTTCCTTCCTTCTTGCCTTCCTTCATTCGTTCCTTCCTGCCTTCCTTCCTTCGTTCCTTCCTTTTTTTCCTGCCTTCCTTCGTTCCTTCCTGCCTCCCTTCCTGCCTTTTTCCCTTTTCCTTTTCCTTTTCCTTCCTTCCTTCCTTCCTTCCCACCCTCTTGCCTTCTGTGTTTATAGTGCAAGCAGAATTTTATCCGCAAAATGTGTTGTTTTTGTATCTTCCTTCCTTCCTTCTTTCCTTCTTTCCTTCCCACGTTCTTGCATGTTCTGTCTATATTTCAAACGGAAAAATGGTTTATGATCCGGAGAAAAACTTATCTGGAAAAAGTGCCATGTTTTTGTTGATGACCATCCCGCCACCACCACCGCCGCCACCGCCACCGCCACCACCGTTATTGCCAGTGCTATACCCCGGGTGGTAATGTTTCTGTTGGCACCTTCATCCCGTTCTCCCCCCCTTGCATGCTGAATGCCTGGCAAGCGCAGCGTCACGGGCGAATAAGTCATGATGGGAAGGTTGAGACTCCTTGGCGCCCAATGTCCGCATCAAACCCAGCAACACCCCAGCATGGAAAAAAATCTGACATGCGGGGTAGAACAAGCATTGCAAAGCTCAAACTTGAAACTAAAACCACATCATGCAAATTGGCCAGGAAACAGTTGGTACAGGGACTGGAAGCCCTCTGCAAAGTAAGTCAGGTTCTTCAAATCGTGTGCGACCTTCAAGTAACAGTCACATTGATGGCAATCTTCAGCTGAATTTGTTCATGCATTTGCGAGCGGAATGCGCGTCGATTTGAGTATTAGTATCACGCATATACCCTTTGAATCCCCTCACTACGGTTTGCAGCCGCCATCACAAGTACGGCTATTTCAGTATGAACGTCATGTCAAATCCGTATATGAACCAATGGTAATGTGGGCTTGTGACCTAAAAAACCTGCGGCTATCTCAAAACTGCAGACCCCTCAAAAAGAAGCACCATGCTCAGTTTAACACCCACCGCCTTAAATCAGCAGCATCGAGTGCGGAATTTCAAACGCACGTGGGACGTCAAAAGTTGAGCAGAGGCCGCTAGCCTCTCCTGGCTTGTTTACTCGAAGGTAAATCCAATTGACTCGAGAAATTGGCGGCTGGCATCCTAGCTGCCGCAGCACTAGCTTTGATGTCAACACAGAACATTCTCAGAATTCAAGGTGCCCGGAATCCAACGTCCCTCTGTCCCCCTTTGAGTCTTGGTCGGCTACACGACGTTGGCAGGGCAGGCCTCTGAAGCCTTCAGAGAACGTCTTTTATTCTAGCCTGGCCATCCTGATGCACTCCCCACATCAATAAGTCAGCACGCTCCAAGAATGAACAACAAGCTTTGCCCGGGTTAGAGGAATGATGAGCTGTGCGTAAAATTGCTCGATCCATGCTCCGACTCCCCCTCCCCCTCCCCCGCCCCAAAACACCCTCAAGGTACAGCTTGTGGATCTTTTGGAATGAATGGGGTACGGCGTGGGGTGCGAGATCTTCCTTCCACCTCATCACTCCTCCCTTTTGGGCCGATCTAGTGGTCTCTCACAGCGTAGACGGACGGATTCACATAAAACCCTGGCTGGTAAGGCGAACGCCTCCAACTACTATCTACTACACGCTTTAGTCCCACTAGTGCTACTACAAACTTTGAACACCATGCGTTCCATGAAAGAGAAGCTGATTGCCATCGTACCTTATTCCTCGTATGTGCTTTGAGGGGCTCTGGAATGTTGCGTTTCTAGGATGGTAGTACTGAGGTGAAGGCTCTCATGTGTTGCCACACTCCTGTTGGGTCCTCAAAATCACTTCTAGGGTAGAAGATTCAGAGGTCGTTTCGCTTCATGCTTCGCACTTCACCATCCTTCAAAGAAACTTTGCACATGAGCTCTCGCGCTGCGCCAAGCCACAGCGCATGCAGAGGTCCATGCACCTGCAAACACACGCGCTCTCAGAAGTGCAGAGACTGGGCTGCTACCGGTACGTCAAAATCTCGCTGGGATGTGCTGGAGTGCTACCCCGCCTAGTGCTCCAAACACGCACCATCCGTCCTCATCCGCATGCTTCGCAACGACGTCTCGAATTGGAGCCTGCATTGTTTCAGCCTGACCCAAAAACAAGGGCTGGGGTCTGGAGCTTAGCAGGTCCGACGTACAATCGGCACAGCGTGCATGCTACTTGAACCTAGGTCTCAGCTTTTTGCTGGTCACGGGGGTTCCGTGGCGCAGGGTAGGGTTCTATTGCTTGGTGTTGTTGCCCAGCATGGCTTCTGCATCTGCATAGCCACCAGTCACCGTTGCTCAGATAGAACAATATTGGTTCCTAGGGCCGCGATGGAATAGTTGCATAGAAACTTGAATACCTGAACTCGGACTAAGGGTTGCGGGACGCGAGGACTACAGTGGATACTGAAACACTCGTGCGCGCATATTCGGAGCACGCGCGAGAAGGCTACAAACAGCCAGACGTGACGGGATCCCGAACCAAAAAGTCCGATGATGTCTCATGCCCGGGCATGCCCTCCAGGACACCGACTGAACTGGTGGCTAGCTTTTCTTTGCTGCTGTACTGCAGGGCCCTTGCAAGCCTGATGCCCTGACCCTCGTGGCTCCGCCACAGCCCTCATCAAATCCTACACTTGATGTATGGTGACCTCTCTGAAACATGGAAATCTTGCAGCGCACTTCCAGGCCCTAGGCCCTAGATTGCATTGATCCTTCTTTTTGCAGCCTTGGCGGAAAAGGGGGATCCCTCGCGATGTGCGATCTTGGGCTCAGGGTCATCAGCTTTAGGGCTCTGAATCCGCGAGTTTGGCTCAAAATCACCGTGTCATTTCTGCACCGAGAAAACAAGGGGCCAAACTATGACAGGCCTCAAGAAAACAAACACTGGAGGCTGGTCATGTGGTTGGGATGATTAGGGTGAGATTATCCCTGACCGCATCCCATGATCCTCAACGCATCCTTTCGAGAGAGGAAACCCCTACTCAAGCCAATTTTGAATTCTCATCCTGGAAAGCCCTCAGGCTTTAGACAGACACCTGAGCATCACACCCTTCAGAAGAATCAGAAGCATGACGACACGGGCAGAACCCCAACAGCTCGCAATCAGCACAGGAACCCACATAAATGAAAAGAATACCGTAGAGCATGAACCCCAAAATCGCGCTCAGCCTCCAGCTTGTTGCAGGCTCCCTGTGATCTGAGCTGCTCCCAGTCCAGGTCACAGGGATCCGGGTCCAGGCACCCCTCAAAGGCATGAGGCTCCTTGGAACTGAGCTTTGCTAGCAGACGTCACATAACTCCAGACAAGATAACCCCCGACAAGGATGTGAGGAGCTTTGCCAGACTCGCATTATGGGCATGACTCCATGACATGAATCCAATCATGATGAATTGCGGCCTGCATGTTTTGGGCTTATTCAAGAGGCAGGCACGTCACGAGGCTGGCAAAATTGCCAGGTTGGTCTGCACGGTGCAGATGACAGATCACGACGCAGGTATCCCAAACGCCCTCTGGCTCGCGTCGTTGCTTGGCAAAGGCCCTTCTTTAAATAGCGATCCCACCCTTCTGTCTACAAACCCATGGAGCTGCTTCTCAGGGACCTCCGCAGTGGCTTTCATAAGGCGCGCCAGCGTAGCCGAAAAGTCGGGCGCCTATCATCTGAAGGAAGCTCTTAGCAGGTGGATACGCTTGCAGGTATCTAAAGGGTTCATGCCTAGGGTGAGCCCCTCCCGCGTGCTCTGTCAGCATAAATCGCAGAGGGCCTGTTGGTCTTAGGGGAGTCGCGTAGAACTCCCATGGAAACTAGCCAGCACATGAAGGTAACTATACCCACCTACTACAACAAAACTCTAAGTTTCAGGACCGAGCTTTCATCACAGCCGTTATCCTCTTGCGCGTGTCGGCCGAATGTGCCTCCAAAGTATGCGCAACAAAACCTTCCTAAATCTCATACAGAAACATAGCAACCCCATCAGCGAAAAGAAGTCATATGCATCGACATTAACACTAGTCTAGACACAGACATACTGAAACTCCCCCCCTGCGTTGTAAACCCCATGCTCATGCCTTCTTATCCCTTTGAAACCCGCAGCAGCTACTAGTTACTAGTCAGCATGGCTTCAGGCCTTGTCCAGCTCGCTGCCCATATGCAGCTGCATCTGTAGCAGGCTCACATTGCAGTCCTCCGAGAGGAAGGGTGCCTGAACAACATGCCCTCGATGCCCCGCAAAAGGCTGCTGCAGATAGACTTGCGGATTTGAAATCGCAATGCTCTACAGCATCTGCACAAAAAAAATGCCTGAAAGACAGCGCCGACAATGCTGAATCTTAAGCCTGAAATCCCTCAACCTGTTGGGTGGGGTGGCTTCAGCCCGAACCCAGCCAGAGCTTGGCAAACCCCGCCCTGAAGCCGAAGAATGCCTCCTCAACAGCTATTGCCGCCGCCGCATGTGCAGCAACCTGGACTAGGGCAAAAGAGACACTACTTCAGGTGCTGAAAGCCAATGACATTGATGGTCCATGGCTGAATCTGATATCCTACAGACTTTGAAGTCTTTGAAGTCTTTGATGTAGCAGCCGTAGCAGCCTTCAGGTTGAAAGTGTCTCTCTCACGCCAGCCAGCTGGTCAGGTTTGAGACTTCCTGGTTTGCTGGCCATGGTCTTACGATTAGCAGTGGTGGCCAAATACTACGAGGAACTGCAAATTACAAACAAGTGTCAGCGAATTGTATTCATGTCGTAAATGAACACTCATAAACTTGGCCTGGACAAGCTGATCTCAAACTGCTGGCAAGCTAACTGAATCCATGAACTGGGGGCCATCCCGAGCTTCTTCGATCAGGGCTTTTGCTTTGGATCCAGGAGCTGCTTAAGGATAGCGGCCTAAGTGCTCAGTGTACGGTATCAGTTTTGATTCCAAGTGTAAGTCATCTTCATGTGCCATTTCCAAACAGCCCATTGTGGGACTCTCTGTTAAAGGCAGGCAGCCAGCAGCTTGAATGCCATGGCATGGTCAAGCCTCTTCTAATTCAGAGCCGCCATGGGTTTTCGCGCGGCTGATACCGTCGAGCCAGAAAAGTAAATTGCAGCAAACTGCCTGTCACTGAGAAGCTAAACATCGGGGTGCATCCGTACGATACCTGTAAGGAAAACAGCAGTAGTCATAGGACTGACTCAGAAAAGTGTTTGCAATCACCAGTAATGTTGGATTGGGCGGACCAAGCAGGTTGATGGGACTCGGCAATCCCTTACCAAACCTGCCAGCGTTCCTTCATGTGATGCTGAACCCAAGAGATCCGGAGCTTCCTGGGCGAGAGGGGCCTTACAGCTCAAAATGGCCCTACCACGCGAAAACCCATCTTACCTCGCAAGTGAGATGCTGCACACCCTATGACACTTCACAGCTGGATAAAACAAGGCATCTGGGATGGAGGTTTGCTACAACAAGTTTTGATAAGTACTGGAACGGCTTACACGGTGGGATATCGCTACAGAAAAGTGTCTGCGATACGGCATCTACGACGGAATCTTGCCACAGAAGCCTACAGAACTACTGGAATTACTAAGCTCTCTGCCAAAACAAGTGTTCGTGGAGAAAGTACCCAGACGGTTTTAACTACCTTGCAGGTCACAAGATCAAGGGCCGAAGAAACATAGGGATATGGTACGTATTTATAGCAGGTAAGCCGGAAAGATGGAAAAACTTAGAAGATGCAGTGTGCAACATGGGAATCTCCAGTGTGACGCGATCGTTGGCCTAAGCGGGACGCCTTACATCAAGGATTAGTAGAATCCCAATTCCCACCTGCCACTGAGCGAATCCACGACATTCGAAGCCAGCAGGGACTTATGTCTTCACCATGAGACTGAACTTCGCCAAACTCAGCTGCGAAAGCCTAGTCGTGTCAGCTCCACGTGTAGCAAATAAGAAAGCAGAAGATGCTGCATTGCACGTCTGCTGGATGCAAAAACCTATCTCTTTTTCGAGCCCTCCAGGCTTTCCGAATCTGGCAGAACCGCAGCAAGCTTTGATAAGACTGAAGATCATGCTTTATACTGCATAGTCAAGTTGCCCCCTTTGACTGCAGCTGTTAGACAACACAAGCATAGCTCAGCACCGATACCATGCCTAACTGTCTGGATGTCAAATGTTTAAGCCTCTGTTGAAGGAACTGCCAACCAGCATGAGCCAGGGGGGTTTGGATTGGGGCCACGGCTAACACAATCGTCGGTGCAGCGCATCCTCCTCATCAATGCATGCTATCGTCACCTGGTCCTTGCTGAGCCTTGCTGCCATCATCCCATCAATGCACTCCAGTGCCGGCTTTTGCATGCTTACAGATTGCTAGTATGATGATGGTTCCCAACTCGCTATTGCTCCTAAAGTTGCTGATGCTATCACCGATATCGGTATCAGGACTTCAAATTGTGTGTTGCTTGCATGTTGTGAAAACATTACTGATAGTCTAGTTACTGCATGTCGTAAAATTAGGGATATCTTCATCATCTTCTTCTACTGCTACTGCAACTTCTATACCAGAGCGACTACACCACGGGCATCCACTTGCATGCATATAAGGTCATATAGGTACTTACCAGACTGCTGCTACTGCTCTATCTACCACTAGCGTTTCTACTTTGATCACAAATTCTGACTAAGCACTAACACTAGCGTCATCCCATCTTTCTTCACATCCGGGGCGTCCTTGGAGTCCACACACGAGTCTTTATGCAGAAGCAGAACAGATCCAGCTCAACGTAAACCCACCGGTCGAAAGCTCTTGAAGATCATAGATTCTGAGCAACCTTTGCAAACCCTAAGTGGGTTCTGCACAGAGCAACCGTCTCAGATTCATGTGCTTGCTGCGGCTGCCAGGAATAGCTACCAGGGAAGTTCAGGCCCCTACAAACCCTGAAGTCCTCGAACGCCAGAAACCTTAACGATTCGGGCCTATCCCCAAGTGGATATCTCCCCAGGCTGGCATTGCTAGCAGTGTTTCTGCTAGATGCGCCTCAAGGTGACAGCAGCTGTATGAAGAAGCACAAGACAAGAACGCTAGCCGTTGTAGTTTCAACCACTGCTGCCGCTGCTGCTACCTGCTACCACAGCAACAGCCCTACTACGACATCTCAGAACTTCTTGCAGGCTATAAGATGAGATGCGAAGCCATCAGGTCACGCGCCTAGGCCATCCAAAAATGCACAGAATGCCGCGGACACTCAACCTAGCTTTACGTTAATGCTCCTTGGGGTATAGAGGATCTTGCGCCTCATGGAGTCTCTTTTTTACGAGCTACCCTTGCTGTTCTCAGGCTCAGCTGGGATGAGACCTGAACCGCATCCACACTCAGTCCTTTGGATTATTAACGAAGCATGCTCAATAAGTCTCTGGCTGTGGAATATCCCAATAAACGGGCTACGAAACGCAGAAAAAACAAAGATTTCACATGATTTGCAGAACCCAACACTTCTTTCTTGAAAGCTAGAGTGATGGCGCCATGATTGAAGGCCCATGCTTGAAGGTTCCATTCGTCCAAACTACGGTCTTTCGTGATCTCCCTACAAACCCAGAAGTTCACCAGACAACCCAAAAAACATTCCTAAGTCCTGTTCTCAGGCAAAGTGTCCTGGAGCATGTCTGCTCATGACTGCCTGTCCACAAGCAAATTCTGCGGAGGCAAACCTTTGGGCAGAAAATGGCATCTCTCAAGCTTTGGTTGCTTGGGGTGTCCTGAAAACTAGGAGTCTTCCTTTTGTGGTGCCATAATCATGAACACCTCCCACATGCGGTGGCAGCACGCCACCCCTCTGCTTGCAGAACGGCAATCACGACGGTAGGTTGGAAGCTGTCCCTCTCCTTCCTGCAAAGAACCTAGGTACGAGGAAGTACAGGAGTGACAGTGAATCCATCAAGAATACTTATCTGGAGGACAGTTCTCAGATTGGGACAATATCCAAACCCGCGGATTAGAGGGCGAGCACCCCGAATGCGCACCTCCGAACAGTCTCTGCCTTCCTGCAGACGAATTAGTGCAGCACCTCTCCCAGATTCATGATTGAACCTCTACAGCACCGGTGCTCTTCCGGGGGCCATCTGTCGACACCAGAAGTGGAACTTTGCCACCAAGATTCCAGGGTGTTTCACACTGCTCCAATCTGAGCAAGGGCCAAACTGCAGGGCAGAAGGCCAGAATTTAGAAGTCTACGGCTCATCCTAGTATGAAGTAGTGCTCGATCGGGAGTCTGTCGAAGTTTCCGCTATTTATTCCCTTGTTGTGACCCCCTTATCCCCTTACAAGTCCTACATAGCTGGCACTCCCGAGGACCCACCTACTCTTACAAACCCCACATGCATCCCGAGTAAGTAGAACGAGGTGCATTTGAATCCTATTCTTCAAGCTGAACCTCCTGAAGCTGCCCTGCAGGTGCTCTGATGATGCAGTGCCGGGCCTACCCACAACAGCTCGGAAGACGCGCGAACCCTGTAAGACGGCTCTGCTTAGGTGGTTTTATGAGTGTGTGCGAAAATTCGCTCTTTACGTTGAGGTTCCTTACAGTGTCACCCATTCAACCAGTCGGGGGTAGATGAAGGGACCCTTGTGCAGGCTTTACACAACCCAAACACGCATAACATCTCATAAAGAGGCCTCGTGCAGTCATATACCGAAAACCTCTACTCCTGGAACACTTGCAACACCTGGAAAAGGGCCTGTACCGTCAACACCTGAGAAGCAAGATTTACAAACCGAGCCATCACGCCTGGGTGGAAGGGTGAAAGGATAATTTCAGATGCCGCGTGTGTCACAACACCCAAGAAGTAAAGTCAAAGCCATAAACAACATGTACACACGTCATGCAGGTGTTGCACCCCAAAGGCTTGCTGTCAACAATTTCTGGCGCAGGGGAGCTATGCGAGAGGCCGCGACTCACAAAAAGCTGGGAATTTCCGAATGAAACCGAGGGGACCCGTTTCGGCAATTCAGCCCCAATCCGGGGGTGTGCCACTTGGGACCCTCACAGTTGGCACTACTGGGGGCGCCCCGGAGAAAGTCAACGGCAAGAGCCCATCGAAGTTTCGGGCAGGCGGGTCTTGGCCTAAGTCAGCTGCTCCGGCCCAGATTATGGAAACCCAAACGTACAGCAAACTCAAGACCAGGCCATAAGCTGCTACTCTTGGTGGCTTAAAACGTAGGATATCGAGGTATGAGTGGTGCTGTGATGTGCCAGGGGCGACCCTTGCTTTGAGCCATGTTGACTCTGCTCAAAGATCTCATCGGAGGAAACGCTCCTCCGCAAGTGAGGCACCTCAGCGAATGCTGCAAGTAGCTTTCAGTAGACAGCGAGCCCCGGGATGTGCACCGCAAAGGGGACTCACCTCGCAATTCCACAGCGCATCAAAAGTAGACGTCTGCATAGAAACATGATGAACAACGCCACACAATACCGTGAGGGGGCTTTGAAGGATCGAAGCCTTTGCAATACCGGTTGCAACATCTGCTGTGCTGAGGAAAAATGATAGGTTGATGTGAGGCTGGTTCAGGCCACCCAGCTGTGGGGTTGGATTAATTACATTGGACTGGTTTGTGGCTTCCTTTCTCGACACTCTTGAAGCATAGGCTATTGCAGCTACCATCCTGCCTACACTTGAAACCTGAACCCAAAACGACCCCGACAAACACGCTTGGCAAAGTGCAAGGCACCTCACCCTTACCACCGCCATCCTCAGTCGCGAGGCCCACCCAAATGGCTTGGCAACTCTTGGGGGGTGCTCCATGGGTGTCGTGCCTTTCGGTCTGCCGTCCGCTCAAGTGCCGGGAACTCCGGGATATTGATCCAGGCTGCCGCAAGTGCTCTGCACACTCGCCTCTGTCGCAAGGATCGGGCTTTCTGAAGGTAGCAACTAGTTATTTGTGGTAGAACTTGTCAATCTATAGAACCTCTATTATAAGACAACGCACATATATCCCTCATGCCAAGTCCAGAGCGTGGTCAACCCTCTGCCCAAA